AAAAAAAAAGGACAGGAGTCATCCATCCTCTTCCCTCCCTCTTCCACCCAGACTGAATTCCAGTGAGAACAGGCTGCCACGAGATGAGGGGGATGCCAGAGGCCCTGTGGATAAACGTAACACGGTCCCACCAAGGGCTATTAAACCCATCCCACGGACACCGGCTCCAGCTCCAGGCCCTTACTGACACGCTGCTACAAGAGAAAAGGCGGTTTGGGGAGAGCTTCATTCTCAACTTGACTCACTTGATCTCCCCTAAGCCCCTGGTACTGGTGACCACCAGAGAGCAGGAGAGGTTGGGGAAACCTCCACCCTGAGCCGGCACAGCCGTTCCTGCGGTGTTACAGCCTCACACAACCGAAACGCAGGCAGCGTTCACGCGTCGCGTGACGTTTAAAGGACTTGAAGTAGCTTGTGAGAGCTGGCGGCTGTGCCCAAGATAGCAGAGGGTGCCACAGGAGACAGCAGCGGGAGCATATGCTTTTCGGAAACATGTTCACGTTAAGAATAAGACGTCTACTAGAAGAAAAACAACCCCACAATAACTCCCAAGTTGAGATACTGTTTTGAGAGCATCTCTGATGAGACTACTTGCATATGGATCATTTAAAACCAGATGCTATTTTCCAATTTGTTGTTCAGTGCCATATCTTCCCTGCACAGCGCTCGCAGTTGCCGTTCCATTTTCCAAGCAGCTAACTCCGATTGTTTACTGATTTTTGGCAAGTTAATCATATTAAGCCCATGGACGGTAGCGCGGGCTCTTACAAGTCGGAATTCAGCAGAGCTACGTATAAAACAGCCCAAAGGAGTCAGTATCTGTAGTGTTACATCTCAGTTTTGGCAACCTGCTATAACCATGCCAACTTTTTTTCTACAGTAGCTTCTAGTTATATAATTATTCAAATTATTTCAAACCCAAACGTGTACAACCTGCAGTGCATGCACATTTCCATTTGATCAAGTATTGCTTACAAACAGCCTCGAAAGCTTTTGGAGCCAGTTGCTGCAGCTTACAGAAAAGGTCATTCTGAACAGGCTCACGTCAACAATAAAAATAAGGAGAATGACAAAGGGTGAGATCAAACCTCGCATCTCTCACACCATCTATCGCAGCAGCCTGGCTCCCAGCACTTACAGAAGGCGGTGCTGCTTGTTCCCAGTTTCCAGGGCAGAACTCCAGGCTGCAAAGCGTGCAGACCAGCGGCAACCTTCTAGAACTATCCCGTTTCAGGAATCTGAAGCAGTGTTCTCCACTTTTTAAACAGCGGGCACACCGAATGCCTTCGACCACTCCCACTGTACCCTATCCCAGCTCAACAGGTGTACACTTAGAGAAACGAAAACCCAGTAATCCAGGCTGCCTTTAAAAACGAAACAAAAACAGTTTTAAGTACTGCAGTATATAATTTTGGTAACTGAGCTGCTACCAAATCTTACGTTATTACAACTGAGGACTTTAAGAGTCACTAAAAGAAATCTATGAAAGCAAGGAGATCTGGATTTCAGGATGAAAATCCTGGTTTGACAATCCATCCTTAACTCACCGCGTCGATATGGTAGGGGTCTCCAAACAGCAAACAGTATGCGCTCCATCTCGTCTGAAAAATCTAGGCACAATGGGGGTTGAGTTAAGGAGAGAATGTCAGACCTAGTGTTTAGCCTTAAAGAGAATCTATTTAAGATTCAAAAATTTACCTTTTTAGCAGCAGATTATAGTCTTACTGAACATTCCTGGAGGATAACTTGTGCTTAGATTCTGTATTTTTCTTCCATTATTGTTTTGCTATCTGAAGATTAAGTTTCAGAACGTTAAGTTACCCTTCCCTCTGTTCAATCCTCCAAGAATGCTACAAAAGGTAAACTTTGAGGCCCAAATAGGTTGACAGTGTCACCCTTTTAGAACAGTTGCGTGACCAGTTTCTCCCCCTCCCCACCATCAGTATTTTAGATATCTGCAACGACCTTGTATTTACAACAAGAGAACAATCCAGAGGTTTTATTTTGGAACAGTGCTTTGAGATTTTTTTAGAAGCCTTTGGCTGTAGGCAGGATCCAAGCAGCAGCGGTCTGGTCAACGATAAATCAGCATCACAGCCTCGCGTCGCTGCAAGGGCAAGTCAAAGTATTTCCTCTCCCTCAGCCTCCAAATAGGAAAGAAAACCAGGGAGACTTTGCTGAAAGCAGCACAGATCTAATTTAGAAGGATGCATTGGGTGCTGGCAATGGCTAGAGACTAGGAGCAAGATCAGTGCAACGAGCATGTGGGACCCTGCTATAAATAACTCGCACAACGCAAGACTGCTGCTCTAACAACAACAGCTTTCCTTATTCCTCTCTAAAACTCTGAAAATTAATTTTTGCAATCAACACGAACCAAGCTTCAGAGAATTCGTTTGCTGACTGTTGCACTACACCACCTGCACTGCGGACAGCGAGGAGAGCAACAGCAAAGCCTCTCCCTTTCCCCCGCTGGTTTCAACCAGCGAGTAAAGCCAGGCCTGGTAACGTGCTCTCAAGCTTTAGCGTTACACAGAGGCTGAAGCTGGTGTCATTTTCGCTGCGTGGGTCTCCCTCGGGTGCAAGGTGTGGTTGAGAGGATTAGGCCGAGATCCACTTCAAGCACTTACTCAGCCAGAGAGAACAACTCATCCCGCTGCAACCGGCCTGAGCTACCCAGGTGAGTAAAGGTGACGGTATGGGGAACCTGGTCCTGAAGTTACTACTGAAATGCTCTCCACAATGCAAACTGTAAACATTTACAACTGAGTCATCACCACCTGCATCGAAGTTACACATGCCATTAATTCTGCCCCCACTGACAAGACGACTCGGGTAATACAACTCCTGAAGTAGCAGTGGTCATCACTTAGATCTGTTTTAATTAGATTTTAACGCCATCCATTAGGAACTGTGTAAACAGACATTCAGGTTGTGCCTCGGTTTTTTTCGCCACCCCCAAATGAAGACAAATAGGTGACCAGGCCCCTGAGCTGCACCCACTACCGCTGCACTTCTCAAACTAGTGAGAGATATTTCATAACAAAGTTGCCCACGAATGAGACATGAAATCTGAGGCTGCTGCCAAATGCTCCTCTTGGGAACTGATGTCATTTCAGCAGCTCCCTCCTGAAGACCAGAATCATGAATGAAGTGAGGAGTTCAAAACGCCTCATTAGTCATGACCATCTTCGTAATTAAGTGAAGTACTGCCCCAAAGAGAAGATTTTTCCTGGCACATGAGCAAAGCTGTAGAGCTGGACTGACTGTATGAGAACCTACACACCATGCAAGCCTGTTCTGGAAAACAAAAAGGATGGGATGAAAGAAATCTGACAGTTACATCTTAAAATTGTTTTTTTAAAAAATAAATGTCTGAGCTTGCTTCTGGTCTCTTAAGGTGCAAAACCATTGTTAATAGCATACGGGTTTAGTTTTGTCAAAAATGGCAACACAAAGACTCTTTAAACTCAGTTTTAACCACCGTGTACTAAAAAGGCAAAGCATTTTAAGGATTTTATTCAAAAGTGCTTGCACAGCTTGGAAGAACAGTAAAGTTCTATGGAGAAACCAATTTCACCGAGACTCAAGAGCCTTGCGAGGACTCACCACTTCAGTGTCAGGTCACCAACTTAACAGGAATAGAGTGCAAAACCATATAGTGTTAGTGTCTACTGAGTGCCTCCATTCTGTGTCAAACTCCTCACAATCGAAGGTAGCAGTTTGACTGAAATACTTCAGAGGCCTTTTGGACATCATAAAAGTAAAACTCAACTTTTGCGTGGGTTGTGTCACAAGCAATGCAGTTTAGCCTGCACAACCATTCTGAGAAAAACACCATTTAAAGATCAGCAGTTAAACTGACAGGCAAAAGTTGGGGAGTTTTTTTTGTGAAGGGTGGTTGACTTTTTATATAAAAAAAAGCTTCTTACACTTCAACATTTTTCTGCTGCAGACCAGAAGTCTTCTTGCCTGGAGCAGCACCTCTCATCTTCCCCTCTGCATATTGTTCCCTTTAAAAAAAAAAAGTACATTTGTAAATAAAACTAATGGAAAAAGAAGCTTGTTTTCCCTCAGAAGAGAAACGCAAACCATTTAGAGACTGTCAAATAGAATCATATCATAGATTAGAACAGCTTAGAAGAAAAATGGCTTTGCAAATCAGTGTGTGTCACGAGCAGGAACAAGCTCAGCTCACTATCGGGAAGAACTGGGCTGCTTCATCCACCACCTCACAGCACAAGCACCCACTTCCTCCCCCTCCCACCATCCTTGTCTTCTGATCCAGGTGGCAGTAGCACGCTGCTGCTGAAAAATAGAAACCAGCTTTGCAATAAAAGCATTTTCATTCAAGAAATACCAGATCAGCAGTCCTAAAAATCAAGTATTTGTAGGCATCCTGAGGCTGAGCAGATCCTTACCACTTAACGCTATGTTTGAAGGATTATGGACAAGGGTCATTTTTAGCCACCCAGTTTCCACGTTCCGGGCCGTCCCCGCGGTTTCTCAAGCTGCCTCTCCATTTCCTCAGCCTGCCCTGCCTGAACGCACCATTTCAAATCCAAGTCGCAGTTTGCTCTTTCTAAACTGCTCGAGGACAAAAATCAGAGCACTTCTGTAAGCCAAAGCATCTCAAGGATAAATGAACACATGAACACCTCCTGAAGGCTTTTCTTTTTTTTTCCCTTGAGGTACAGGTATTGGATTGAAACTCTATAAATAATTTTATTTACTGACAAGTACTTCTAACAAAAACACTTACTGATTGGCCTTTTGAAGTTCTTTTTGTTTCTGCAAATTGGTATCCACGTATTTGAGCACTCTGCTTTCTGGAACCCATTCATCCCAGCTGAAAAAAAAGAATTTAAAAGACAATCAAATGATCATTCAAAAACATGACGTAGTCGCATTCTACACGCAAGAGTCAATTAAAAGCTTCACAGAATTTGAGACTGAACTCTGCTTTTCTATCAAATCACAGACCGGCACAACTGAAAGTGTAAATTTAACACATTCCCCACTGACTGAAGCTGTAGCAATATTTCTAGGGAAGTGTAACCCTCTGTTATTTTCCAAAGAGGCTCCCACACTTGAGGGATGGGCAATTTAGAAAGGAGGGGACTGCCTTTAATTTAAAAGACGCAGGAAAATAAAAATCTTCTGTGCTTACTAAATTATGGGACACCTATAGCCATAACTACATTATGAAGCAAGTTCCCTTTATCTATTCCAGCATTTTACAGGTTAACAAATTCAGCAATAAGATCTTACTGTACGAAGAAGAGCTCTGATTTCTGTCTGTGACGGAAACCAAGATGGCATGAATATTTGGAGAATCTGAAGTGAATGATTTAAGAGAACAGGTGTTGGGGAAATGGCCATTACGAGCGAGAATTCCACTTTGACAAAGAGTGGATAATGAGCAATCTGACAATTTATTTCAAATCATACACGTTAAAAGTGGCCAAGTCATGCCGAAGGAGGCAAGCTGGAGCTCTGTTTCAAGAGTTCTGTGTCATTTTCATGTCATGACAAGAGCTGCCAGTCTCAGAACATCACGGTGTCCAAACCAGCACTACTACAGGAGCACACGGTCTTCGAGAGCATGAAGACAAGGCAAGCTTAGCATCCAGACGTTAGAGAAACCCACGCCCAGTCATGCACTGTTTAAGACTGTCTTCTTAGGACAGTGCTTTGGGCAGGTATTTAAGCCATTCATCTTTCTCCTGCCTGTACAGCTGCAAGAGACCTTGAGGGAAAAAAAGCGCTATAGAACTGTGCAGCACATTATACTGCACCATGAAAACAAACTCTTCTGGTATCTTTGTCGATATTTGCAAAAAAAAAAAAAAAGACATTGAGCAATTAACAAGTAACAAAGGGCTGTAATTACAGAAACTGAAACTAAGGAGTTCTGTTGCCCAGGCTGTCTAGATCTTGCAGCGAACGCCACTTTTAACATAGTTAATTGGAAGCTTGAAGGCAAAAAAACCTCAAGCAGCGCAAGCAAGAAACACAGGAGTCACGACATCACTCACGGCACCCTTCAGCAGAGGTAAACGAAGAGGGGAAGTATCAAATCTCTGCTGCCTCATTCATACGCAATGATCCAGCAGCGCTCCCGGGAACTGCTGCTGGTTATGACGGAGCATTTACCTGTCCAGTTGGCAGGAAGGGTGTGTGGATGCATTTTAAAGAGTCACACATTAAACCACGAACTTCAGCTCTTAGTCATGTTAGTGAGATCAAGATACCAGTGACTAAAAGTCTTCACCTGAGTCTGCAGCACTGAAATGAAACAAAACCAAACCAGAAGCACCCTCTAAAAGACTTCTGTGGTCTGAAGAGCTGAAGCTTTTAATCTCCAAGGGAAAAAAAAAAAACAAAACCACACACCTTCCACTCCTCCTAAATTCAAAATCTGGTGGCAGAACAGAATTCAAATGAAAGCAAAAAAAAAAAAAACCCAAAAGAAACGAAGTGCGGAAATGCAATAATCTTATTATTCACCTTTAATGGGCTCAACATTATTTCATTTTATTCTTCAGCAATCTCTCACCTAGAATCCTATCGGTTTTGCAGCAAGGAAAAGTATCTCTAACTTTACCTTAGCATGAGAGGCAAGAACTGAAAAACAGGCTAAATCTGCTCCTGTGAAGGCCTTCCCTTTCTGAACACAGCCTTTGGTCAGGCGGGCCTCCCCAAAGCTTTGCTCCCAAACCTCGTTGCCAGAAGCAGTATAAAAGGAAACCACACCACGTGTGTTTGAGCAGAGAGTTTTGCTCAGCCTCTCTCCCTTCTCCTCCCAGCAGGTAACAAGGAAGTTTTTGTAGGGGGTATTTCTGCCAGGCAGGAATTACAGTAACTGTTTTCTGAACAAACAGAACATTATAAAGTATTCCCCTTGGTCTGCTGATGCCCTAAGCTAGTCTGTCTGTTCAGCCAAAGCTCTGAAGGAGATGTCAGTTGGGCAATGTTTTCATTGTGTTACCATAAATCATTGTTCCTGCAACACCCGAATGATTTTGGTACGTGAACCAATCTCCTAATGACAGGGACACAGTAGCACTAGTCCATCAAACTCACATTCAAACTGACACAGCTTGTGTTTTCCCCACAGAGGAAAAAATAAATAAATCAAATACTGCTTTCATTTTACGCAATACTTACTTTTTATTCCAACCACTGTAATGGATAAAATATTTCACTTGCTTGTCCTTTATGGCAACCTTTACACACTGGAACAGAGAAGAAAGTTCAGTCAGGACCACTGAGAGCAAAGAGGTCTGAACGAGTTTTGCTTTTTTAGTTTCCAGAGTTCAGGCAGGCAGAGATTTCCACATGAGCCACTGAAGTACCAGCAGCTATGTCACAGTAGAAAGTTCTTTAACACAAGTTAGTGCCTGGTTAGGGCTTTGGAAGGGCTGGCCAAAAAAGACTCTGGCTCAGCTCTCCAAAGGGACACCTTCACTCACCAGAAGGATCAGAACTGTTCCCCGAGGATGACCAGAAGAGTAAAACAAGCGGTCCCTTCACTACCCTCAGGTCAGCCCAAAGCCACTCCCTTGAGAGCTGTTCCCAAGAGGGTCTTGTTCACGGGCAGGCCCCTCCCTCAGAGGCAGGCAAGCTGGCTGAGTAGAGGAGTCTTCAAAAGTAAAATAAACAAACTGGATCTCTACAGCCACAGTGAGGGCATTATATTCAGTAGAAAGAGTTCCACTAAGTGCTTTGTCTAGGTTAAGAATGTACACAAGGCAAATAAAACCAGTTACTTCCACCAGAAGACTGAGCTATGAATACAGTAACTTCCTCACATACTGATACTCAGGTGCAACCACTAAAAGAGGGCGCACACACATCACGAGGCTGCTCCAACTGCTCCGCAGCATCACTCCGATTCAGAAGCGTCCCTCACAAACCCTTCTGCCTCAGAGCTCAGCACGGGCCCACTCGCAGCCTGCGAGATGCCAGCTCAGCTCAGAGAATGCCCAGGGGAGCCGGGACAATCGTGGGTGCTGCCCGACAGCGACACAGCTTCCTCCTGCCCCCCGGGCTGGCACGTCAGAGCTTCAGCTACCACAGCCACCGAGGAGGAAAAGCACAGCCTGAGACACATCTCTTCCTGAAAAAAACCACCACCAAACCAGCCAAGAACTACATAGCCCTAGCCAGCCTAATTACGTGCCCCCCACATGTCCCTGAACTTCTTGGCTACACTAGATTAAAACCACCAACTCCACCATTTCATCCAGAAAGTCACCAACCCTTGTCCTGGAGATGCCGAGACACAGATGCCATTGCATCACCCTAACAGTGAAATAACAAGGATGCTGTAAAACATGGAAAATCACCTTCCTTGGGTCTAATTTCTGGATTTTTTTTTTCCACTGAAGTAAGAAATATACTCACAGAAGTCATAATTGCCATTTCCTTGCCATGCTAACTGAATCACCTCGAAGTATTTGAGAGGGCAGAGCCTTCTGCTACACAACATTTCCTCAAGACCTTTGTGGCAACCTCAGCATGGCAAACGAAGTAAAGGAAGATACAAACAGATTTCCACACCAAAATACTTTCATTCTTGCTGGAGGTTAGAAGCATCTTACGAAAATCTCATTTAACTCCACATTGTACAGAGATGTGGTTACTCTCTGCCATATTTCATACCACTCCAACACAAACAAGTGCTGCTCTGATCATCTTGCCGCAGGAAGCCAAGGATACAGGCAGCAGGAACAAAATACATTCTAACAATCACAGAATAAAAAACAGATCAAAGGAAAAAGAGGAAAGCTAAGGTTATTATTCATTACTACCTACAAATGCCTTCATAAAATTAAATTCAAGTCCTTCTGCCACTTAAGAGCCCAGAAGGATGCGGACTCTGGATACAAACAGCCAGCCAGAAGCTCTCTTGCCAACTGGACAACCCCTTCCAGCACCAGGCTGGCAGGTCCAGCTCCTGCAACGCTCAGCCCACCCCCGTGCACAGGAGAGGGCAGAGCCCAGAGAAGCACAGCCCTGAGCAGCTCTGGCTTGTGTAACTGGCCAAAGAGTTCAGACCGCTGCAAAGAGAAGTTTGTTTTCACAAAAACCTTCATTACTCTCCTCTCTGTATCAGCACCCGGGCAGGCAGGGACACAAGACAACACTGAGCACACATTTGAAACAAACTTGTCCTCCAGTTCTAGAGCAAGGGAGAGAACAATCGCTAACGTGAAAAATGTTCTAGACAAGCACATCCCATCAACTGGATGTTATTTTAACATGAGAATGACTACTTCCTGAGAGCATGACAAGAGATGCCAAGTATTTCTAGCTGCCTCCCTATTACCACCTCTCCGAAGTTGTCCCATCACAGGAACACAGCATATCAGATGCTTGACACATAAGCCCACCCTTTAGCAGTTTGCCAAGACAGCAGCATGGTACCACAGGGTTTTCTGATTTTTTTCCTGTAATACACAGCTCCAGGATTTCAAATTGATTTCATACATTATCAGGTTTTCATTCATTTAATCCCATCTAGTGAGGTACAGCAGATAAAGTAAGACAATTCCTTATTTTCTCAGGAACGGTCAGAACAACCTGCAGCAACAAGCAGTCACGCCTACCTTTGCTTCATAAAGGAGAGGTCCATGAAAACAAAGCACTCGTTCACCTGCAAGAGAGTTACAGATAAACATCTTAGAGCACCACCATCACACCATTTCTGTAAACTATGTCATCAGGTACAACACAGAATGAATCCAGTATCACCCTAGAGAGAAATTCAAAGGCAGATACTGATTTGAGATGCAGGTTGGTGTTTAAGAAGCAAACTCAGTCCATACAAAGACTCCCAAGGACCTCCCTGAGAAGCACTCCTGCATGTGAACCCTGCCCCACGACGGCTGGCGAACGGCAAACAACTGGCAACGACACCGACGCTCCTGCCTGTGCATCCCACCGCTGCCAGTTCAGGCACAGACACCCCTGAATCCGGTGGCAAAACACCTTCAAAGCCTCAAGTGTCAGACGGAGACACCAAAGCACTCCAGCTCAGCACCTACGGGCTATTTCAGCCCAAGGACTCGAGCAGTCTCACTGCAAGGGAACCTTTAGTCTCTGCGCCACTGCATTTGGATTCAGAGCAGGAAATCAGCTCTCTGAATCAGAGATCCCACCTCTGCACCTTGAGCTCCTGACACAAAGGGAAGCAAGTGCTCTCAGTGCTCCTTTCCTGCAGGACATACACCACCTGGTAGTTCTAAATCAGGAAGAGAGAGACCCTGACATTGTTTTCCCATCCGACTTGCGGGACAGAGGAATGCCTGGTTTGTGCAACAGCAAGAAAAATTGTTCGCTTTGTGCTTTTTAAGTAGGAAGAAATTGTTCTTCGGTCTTTTTTTTTCTCCCTCCCCTTCGTTAGCAAGGTCTTATTGTGTGGTTACGCTGTGGGAATTCAAACATACTTAACACAGGATATCTGAGTACAGATGTTTCCTTCTTGAAAGCTGCAGCACCTCACATTTTCACAGATACGCTGCAGAACATGCTTCAGGCTGTAGCACACATCCAGTTCTTAAGGCTGTCTCCAGAACACACAGGACAGAAGAGGGGTGGCACAGCACTACCCGCAGGCAGGTATTCCTTCGGCCCCCTGGCTGGGCAAAGGGTGTGCAGAAGCAGGATGTCGTACCAGGAACAGAACTCTGGGTGCCCTGAGCAGCCCAGGAATGACATGGGTGGAGCCTCCGACTGTGAATGTTACTCTGCTTTTCCAAACTGCTTTCTGCATGTTTGAGTGAGGAACATCGTACCATTAACTCCGACTCTCCTGAATCCCCTTCAGCTCTGGCTCCATCTGCCTCTTTACCACACAGACAGGTAACAACGTTAACAAAGCTTTAACTAGACAAGCTCCAAACAGACACTTGCTCTGCCAACAGAAATGCAATGTCCCCACATTTCAAACCTTTCAAATATTTTTTGTTGTTGTTGTCCTCAGGGCAGAGCAGTTCTTGCACTTATTCCCATTGCTGGCAGAGTGGCTGATGACAAAACACCTGGGTTTTTTTCCCTGACTGGGAGACAGTAGATACAGCAACAGCCTCTTCAACCAGCACAGCAACCAGCACATTTCATCTACTACATCCAGGCTTTGAGTAAGATCAAACATGAATTTAGTATTTCACTCCTGTACTGACTACAAAGAACTGCTCACATTTTAAGATTTCGTTATTACCCAGTTTGTAGGATCCCATGCTCTCTTGGAACAAATAGCCACAGTAAAAGCTAAGAACATAAACTAAGTCAGAAATGGATTTTGACTTGTAAAATGCTTCTGTGTATCAGGATATAAAAAGGTTCTCACAGAAGTGCCCATCTGATACATTCAGCAGTTTTATTTGAAAAAATAAAGTCTTTATAATCAGGGCTAACAATCAGAAGTTATATAATTATCTTCATGCGTCACAGCACTAGCGCTACGGAAAACAAGTCTCCATTCCAGTTATTACACAAGGCCTTTCTACGCAAGATGTCCACAAAGAAATACTTCATTTATTTTTTTTTTTTTTAAAAATGGTTTTGCAGAAAGGGTTCTTCTGTTTTTCCTGACAACCTGACAGGCTCTTGCTCCCTCCCAGATGACTGCAGACACGCACGAGGCCTCTCCTCTGAATCTACAGCCTGTTCTCTCCTACACACCGCCACCACTGTGGCCAGAACACCCGCACCTGCTCCTCAGCCCAAAGACAGCGCCTGCAGGACAACAGCTCCTGAGCTGAAAGCGCTGGCAGAAGATACCAGACAAACGCTCTGTTATCATGCCAAATGCCCAGCTGCTGCTGCCATGCTGGCCCACGGCTCAGACACCAGCTTGGCTCCCAACAGACAGGTATTCCAGCCTCGGAACACCTCAGAGACGGGGGAATTCAACCACTCGCTCCTCCCAGTGCGTAACGCGCAGAAACAAGAGGCTCTCAATCTGCGGACTGAGGGTGCAATTCCAGCGACACCTTCCCATCGATGCCCGAGCAGCAAGCGAACCAGCACCCTCAGGCCAGACAACGCCAGAGCCCCACCAGGCGTAAAGACAAAACCTGCCGTAACCTACTCAAAGCTGAACCCGACTTTCGAGACTCTTTTGTGTTTAAAAAATAAACGGCCACCAAGATGTGGAACACCTGAAGCAGCTACAACCCTTAGTTCATATTGCCTCAAGGCTAATCTCATTTCTCACGCCTGCATAAATATATCGGTCCCTTCGTTTTAAGGGAAGCTCGTACTCCTAGCTTGCCATCCAGTTTTTCCTAGTGCTTAGGGGCTTTCATACATAAATTCAGTCTCCTCCTCACCCTTCACTTTGTGAAAAATGCCAGTATGGATCACTTTTAAAGTCTACCTACCACCCTTTGATGGATATTTAGCTCAAAAATCTACAACTAAAATAATTCTCATGTGTCACGCTGTGAAGAGCCACAATAAAGCATTTAAGATTTAGGCCTGCAGGAAGCTTTATTCACAGCACTTCTCCCTTTTAATGTTACAGCTGAGATCACAAACACACTCACATTGTGGAAAAAAGCCTACGATACTTCTGTGCTAAATTTAGGTTGCTCACATTCCTACAGCTGTGAACGTGATTTCAGTCTGGAATTCTATTTAGGTTTTAGTTTCTACAGCTCATTTAATTTCACATTAATTATTATAACGTGACTCACACATTAAAATCTTGATTATTTTTGCAGGTTAATAATGCCACTGGCATTAACAGATGGCTGATGCACACTGAGCACTTTGCAGCTCAAGCAGCCATGAAGCACATACAATCACAGTGCTGTTTAAGTTACCCACAATGGCCCAGTTCATCATTTTTTTCTGCAGCCTGTGCTTTTAAAGATAAATCGATTGTGTGGAAAGTCCTGCTTGGAAGCTAAAGTGAGGAACAGGTAGAGAGGAAATTTCATTTAGCACTGTCTAGCATTTTCATTTCCCTATAGCAGTATCAAACAGAACTATTACCCAAAAAAACAGAATGTGTGCAAAACAAGGCTCATGAAAAGCATAACCCTAACCCTTATTCAACCAAAAATAACCTGATGCTTTGTTGTAAATACAGATTCCACCACAACCACCACCTGGAGTCCAAACACTGACCCTGTGAACCCTCCTGCAAGAGGACTGCTGCCTGAAATCCCTTTCAATGAAGAGTAAATAATAATCATGGCTCAAACTGAAGAAAATAGAAAACCTGAGAGATTTAAGCACTTTGAATGGCAATGAATGTTCACACCTGCAAGAAAATGAAGCCTGTTTAGAAAGATAGGAAGGCCCCACATGCTATTGATAGCAAGGATGCCAAGAACAGGAAGAGAGACGAAGATCACAGGAATTCATTTTTTTTCCTCCCCACACACATATTTTCACGTTGTTAGGGCTGAGCAGTGAAAACCAAAACACCAAACCGCGCTCTGTGCTGAGGGATCGCAAACGTCAGGGCCCCAACCCGGCCCGGCGCACCTCAGAGCCACAACCCCCGCCAGGTGAGGCAGTTAATTACCCTCTGCACTGTTAATTACCCTCCGCTTCATCAC